CATATTATTCTCTGGCGTAAAAAAACAATCTAGTGATGGAAGTCTAATTAAAGAGTGGACACTCCTTGCATAGGAAAAGAATTACAGCAATTCACTGGTGTTGCACCACAATAGCGTAAGCTCAGAAAATGTCAGGTTCTATTCTTTAAAACACTGTCATAAAATTAGATACTATTTGTGGATGAGGCCCTTTTATTTCTAAATGGATAAACAAAAAATAAATCTTTGAGTGACAGAACATATCTTTGAGTTTTTAAATGCGGAAGATTTAATCATGTAAAACGTATTTACGTATTTTAAAATGACAGCATATGACCAGAAATTCAGAAGATCTTCCAAATTATGCTTAAGATGACTATCAAGTTCCTCAAGGGTTGAACGGAAATTTCCCGTTGTGACACGGGCAGCAGAAACACTTTTTTCCCCCTACGATATATGAATGTTCTTAATTAATAGATACGAATCAGATAGAATAAAATCACAATTAACATTGAAAAGTGTTACTTAAGCAGTGAACATAAATGTCAGTGACCTTAATGTCAGAGGTTGTTTTTTTTGCGTCAGATATTTTACATTCCAGGAGAGTTATGCACTGTCCTTCTGTGTATGCATCATCCTCCCAAGCAAAGGAAACAGATTAAACATTCAATAATATAACTTTTATAAAGCTGGCATAAGAATATATAGCCGGATTTCAATTAACGGACTTGTTTCACCATATTTTTTATACTACACCTCAAGAAAAACACTTTATGTCGGTTGTCTCTATAGTCAACATATTGCTTATTTAATTTTCAATTAACAATTTAGACAGAATATAATGAAATGAAATCATCTTTCCTGGATAATTACGTTTTTTCACAGCTGTAATGGATCCACCTTGATTTGATATGTAACCAATTAATTTAATAATTAATCTTTGTAAAAGCACATGTGGAGGACAGATGGTGATAAAAGGAGCAGCTGACCTTTTTTTGAAGTACAATGGTACACATGTGAAAACTTGGACAAAGGCCATAAGCTGGTTTGACACCATCTTTTCTACGTAAGCTTATTCTAAACTTAGCAACATCGACTGCATAAGCAGTGCAAAATAGCTGCTGCACCAACAGGTAAGCTTTTTGTCTGCTTATAATTTAGGTCATCTCTCTCAAGAGCCAAAAATGTACTCTTTGATGTTAGATTTAATTAATAATTTAGACAAAATGTAAAATCTAAATATTAACTGTTTGGGGGAAAAAAAAGCTAAAAACACTCTCAAGCACTTAAGCATAACTTTCACAAACCATTATGAAAATGACAGAAAAAAAAAAAAACATGTCATGGATAGTCACATTTGAAATAAAACCAAACTCAATCTCTTTGTCTGAAATATTACCTTCTTTTCAATAAATGTTCATAAATACTATTTACTTTCAATCCATATTTTGTTACAATTTCAGTAAACCTCAAAATCTTTAAAAACTATTTTAAATTATGTAGTTTTGATCAACAGATCAACTAAAACTATACGTATCACAAGCAAATATATATTTTTAAATGTATTATTGTGATTTATTTACAATTAAGGAACTACCAATATTTGCTAACCCTTATTTATTTATATAGCGCCAATTCACAACACGTCATCTCACTTTACAGTTCACCAGATCATACAGTCAGATTGATTAAAAGTTTTCTATCAAAGGAAAACAAGTTGGATTGTGTCAACTCATTGACTTGAAGGCAATCCCTCACACTGAGCATGCTTGGAGTGACAGTGGAGAGGAAAAACTCCCTTTTAACAGGAAGAAACCTCCACCAGAACCAGGCTCAGTGTGCGCGGCCATCTGCCGAGGCCGACTGGGGTTCAAGGAGACAGAAGCAAAAATACAGAAAGAAGCAGAGCATCAAGGACCATAACTAAATCAAATCAGGAAGAAAACAAATTGAAACTTATTATTTTTTGCATTCCAACAGGAATAGAAATATTGTACAACAAGCTAAGCTTGGAAGAAACAAAGTAAAGACAAGAAATGGTAACATAATGGTGACTGAGCTTCCACTGGGCCTTTCTGTTCCACTGTGTAACATTGAGCCCCCATGAACCCAATTGCTTTGTCCTCACTTTTTTTCCCCCATGTTTAGTGGAAATATGGTGGGTTAGAGGGTGTAAGTGTTCATTGAGGAATTTCTGTGGGTTATTTGTGCTCCGTTAAGGCACACTCTTTGCTTAGCTTGCAGTCAGTTGCAGCTTTCTAGCATCATGCCGCAGCTGTGATGCCTTTTTTTATTTGTTTCTGTTTGTTTCACTTTTCCAATTGTGCTGGGCTTAGTTGAACATAGGTTTGGTGCAAACGTCCTGCACGTCAGCATACTGCTGTGCCTGTGGGGCATATCCAGATCACACTGGCTGTGAGGAGACTGAGAAGATTAATAACCTACATCTAATCTGTAGCACTTCTGAAGAGTACAATTTATTTACAGCTTACAGTCGGAGCATCACAGAAGAAGTGATATGGGCTTGAAAATCTTTGTTGCCCTTAAAAAGTTTGGGCAAACTATCTGTTTATGACACCCTTGTGCATGGGATCTGATGTTCATGAGCCTTCCTGGGTATATTCTACTTTATGGTGATGAAACTTTATTGGCTTCACCCTTTTCAGCTCCATATTCTTTCTCGTCCTTGCATTCCCCCTTTGCTGTGCATCAGTTCATGACGATCCTGTTTTTCCGTGCCTCATAGCATTTTTAACCTGAATTTGAAATAAATAAAACATATATAGAGTTAGGACATTAGAAATAATTCACCTGAATTGTTTGTTTCACAACGAGTGAAATAATACAATTTTGAAGCACAAAAAATATTATGTGCATTTAAAATGTTGAAAAGCTAAATACCACAATATCAGCAGAATGGATGCAAACTCTGTTTTGTCCTTCAATACATGAACATCCTACTGTTTGTATTTCATCTGATGTAGAAACTAAAACACAGGTTTAAACTTTTTCCTTGCCTCAGCCATGACCAGTAGTCAAACAGGCAGAAAAATGGTGGAGCAAAAGCCTTAGCTCCATGACTATATAAGAGCCTGTGGCCATAAAGCAATACGTTCTTCCAGGTCACATGACCTGGACAACGATGGTACATCTTCTCCCAACTTACTGTACAGTAGCAGCCTTTCAAAATGGCCCTGCCCAGTCAAACGGCAGCCAAGATAGCCAGAGGGATATTACCGTTGCCCTGTCAGAGCTTGGACAGTTGATGTTCCCACTGAGCATTCTGCTGGAGATTTTGTCCTGTTAAAAGGGAGTTTTTCCTCTCCACTGTAGCTACAAGCATGCTTAGTGTGAAGGATTGTTTCATGTCAATGAGTCAATGCAATCAGCTGTTTTTCAAGACATTGAATTGAATAGTTGAATTTAAACAAATCTTTCTGTATGATCTGGTTTAATAGTCTCTGTAAAGTGTCTTGAGATGACATATGTTGTGAATTGGCGCTTTATAAATAAAATTAATTGAATTGAATTGGCAGGGGATAATTATTGGTTTGCTAAAAGAGACAGTAAAAAACATATTTTCGTTTTTAGAAATAAAAAAAAAACAACACACCAGCCACAATATACAGAAATGAAAAGTTGAATGATTGTTGGTATAAATTTGCATAGTGGTTTGTTTTACAGTGAGGCATTATAGCGATGCCCTAAAGGCAAAAACAATCATCCTTTTTTTGAGAACATGTTCTGATGAGGAGAAGATGACTTATGCTTTTTTTTCCAGTTTGTTTATAACAAAAGGAAGGCAAGTCCCTCTGATTCACTCCTATGATTTTAGAACAGATTTTAATGACACAAGACTTTTTATCTTTCAATGTTGGACAGTTATACCAACAGATAAATAAAGACAAAGGCGATTCTTGATCAAAGCCTAAAAAAACCTACCAAGATAATTGAAGGGACTGAAAAAGACTATGTTTTCTTAGAAGGTACATTCTTTGTTTAGCTTGTTTCCCAACAGCTACAGTTTTAACCTTAAACTTAAGATGGTTGTCACACATTTTGCCAAGAAACTCATACTCAATACGAGGCATCCAACACCACACCTTGACTAAGAATAATGCTCTTGGTGGCTGGATCCTTTTCACATCTAAAATCAAAAAATATTTAATTTTTGTAGAAAATATAAAGAAGAGGAGATAAAAACACAACCCTGAGGTGAAGATGTTGATACAGAGGCATGATCTGATGGGCGGTTGTTAACAAGGACTCTCTGTTCCCTCATAGACAAAAAATCTAAAATCCACAAGACTAGCTGGTGGGGTCAACTGAATTCATTTAGAATCTGTCATCCCAAGTGCTTACAAAGAAAGCCTAAAATATAAAGCTTAGCACCCTCAACACCTTTCCCAGCTTGGTAAACAAATTGCAACTGATTGATTTTCCCTTCCATATACTCAAGAATTGAAATTAAATAAATTAAAAAATAAATTAAAAAAATAAATAAATAAATAAATTTCCTGTAAAAATGTGGTTAAACTGACCACAATAGCACCAGAAGAAAAGAAGCCTAAAAAAATAGGTGGATGGATTGATGATTGGATGGATGGCAAATATCCTCACAGGTTTGTACAGTAGAATTAATATACTACCAAATAATATGTTTGGAGCTTAAATTGAAATGTTGTTCTTCAATTTAAATAATACCAACTTGCCTTTAATGTATTAATTAAAGACCAGTCTGAAAATTGGTTATATTTTAAAATCAAAAAATAAGATTGACACAAAAGTTAGATAAAGATTTTTTTTATCAATTAGATTTAAAATAAATCCAAGGCATCAAATTACAAGTAGAAAAAATTATGCATTTGTTTCAAAAACAGTGTTTTCAACCTTTAGAGAAGGTTTCTCATGGGACGACAAATACCTTTGTAGGGTGTTAGACAAGGTCATGAAACCTGGCCCAAAAGAATGCAAGCAAAAAGTTCAAATTTACAGGTATCTAGACAAACCTCATTTCTTACCTTGATGACAGACTCCATAATTCATGTGAAGGTGTGGATACCAGCTACAGTTTTATTAAAACAACAAAAACAGTAAATTTAGAAAAGGTTTAACGGACTGAGGAGAAAGTTCTAAAAAAGCCTTTATTGGTACATTGCTAATGTGATAACTATGACCCGCCAATGACAAGAGAAACCTTAGATAAAAACAGTACACTAACAAATGCATTTACACTTTTTAATATAAAGAGGACACAGAAAAAGATGGTAAAAAACTGCTATAAATCCAAAAAAACACAGATTTACTGATAACCAGAGAGAAAGACGTCAGCCATCTCTTGTCATAGGCAGGTCATATTGAATTGAAACTTTCTGACAGGTAGTCACCGACTGAGTAGGAAGGTGAACAGCACACCCTGGAGGGGGAAACTAGACAACCTAGACAAACTGGAGCTGCAGGGGAACCGAAAATGGAGGCAAGCAGCAACGTGCTTGGGTCATAGAAGTTATTCCAGGAGAGGCGGGTTCAGACCTGTGAATGCAGCAGTGGCAGCTGCTGCTTTTTAAAACAAGAGAGGCTAAATTATCTTAATTAAATGCAAACCTGGCATATTGCATTAACAAATGTTGAAACACATAAAACACATTACTACAACAGGTGAAAATAGCGGCTGTGAAGTTTGCCAATCTGTATTTCAACAATAATTTTATGAAATTTACAGGGGAGGTTTAGCATCCCTTGTATTACTGACAAATCCCTTCTAGAATGCAGAAAGACAAGCTGTGAGAACAAAAATAAAGTAAAAATAGTACAAATAGTAAGATAGATCTAATTTCTTAAGACAAAATGTTGTCTAGACTGGTACCGGTATTATTGGACCATCAGGCAAAGAAGAGATGTCTGCAGCTCCTTGTATCCCCAACAGGTAGTTGGATAGAGGAGATTATTTTAAGCCATTCAGTAAGTAGAACATTTAAAAGAGTTCTGAGGCACTCAGGAGGAATGTTAACAAAAGGTCTTTATTTGTATATTGCTAATGTAAGAAAAACATGCCATCGAATTTTTGCAGGTAAATGTTCATATTGCCAGGACCTGTGTGTGGACGCACCGTATTCACCATTATTCCTTTGAATATCAAGTTATGTCTTATGATTTAAATAAGAATGTCATGTTTGGTTTAACGTGTCTAACCCACATGCAGAACACTCGGAGGCAGAAGAAAAGTTCAAAGGTTTATTAATTGATGAATGTACAAGTTTTATGATCAGGTCCAAGTGGGGAACTCGTCTGGTCACGAGAGGGTTCTGAAAAGGTACACAGATTTATCAGATCCAGGAAGGGACTGGACTGGTCACGAGTGGGTTCACTGCAGAGGAGGACAGAGGAGTTAGTGGAGGTCCAGGTATTTTGCAGGATTAGAGAGAGTGCAGGTCTGTACCTGTTCTGGAGTGGAGCAGAGCTGCAGAGGGGGGGAACCTTGAGGGTCCAGAGGCTGTCGGCAGGCTGAGGGCTAAGGTGGAGGCAGAGCTTATTGAGTGCAGGCAGATCACTGATTTGAGTTTCCTTCAAGTAATCTTCTGAGAGCGGGCAGGCAGATCTTTCACAAGAACTGTTCTCCAGAGTTCCTCTGAGAACGGATAGGCAGATCACCGGCAGAGAAACTCTCCAGGGTTTCAGGTTTCAGGCAGGTTCTATCTAGGAAGTAGAGAGGAGAAAACAGGTCAGGTTCGGTTCTCAAGGAATCAGAGTTACAGACAGGCTGGGTAGCTCAGGCTTGCTAACCGTTACTGGCAAACACTCTGGCACTGGAGTGAAGCCCTCCGCCTCCTTAAATACGGATCTCCTGATGAGCAGATGAGCGACAGGTGGTGCAATCAGCTCTGGCTCCAGGAGATCTCCTACGCCCTCTGGTGGAGAAAGTGGACAGACCTCCAGATCCCAACAAAGAAATGTGTTTTAAAATGATGACATGGAAACTGAATTTTTGTGTCCAGCAGCCCATACTTACATCCTTTAATATATTTTTAAATAAACAAAAATAAATCTAAACTATGAAACTTCATGTAAAAGGTAATTAAGAATTATATCAATCCATCCATCCTCTCCCGCTTATTCTATCAAGGTGGGCTTGGTACCTATCTCCGGCAGTCAATGGGCAAAAGGCGGAGTACACCCTGGACAGGTCACCAGTCTGTTACAGGGCGAAAGAGACACACAAAGACATACAACTGTGCACGCACACACTCAAGGGTAGAATAGGTTAACTCAGTAAAACAAACTGTTTTTGTTTATTAAAAAAATATAATGACTTTATATAAAGTTTACAACTATTTTTTTTGTAATAAAAGCCAAACATTGTTGCACTAAATTATTAAATATAGCAAACAAGACTTGAAAGTAGTAGTGATATTTTCCTGTAGAAAATGTTAACAATAGTAGTTTTAAGGTGTTTCTCATGAGATCAACAAATAACTCAGTGGGGTGTTGGAGGAGGTCATGAGAACCTGACCCACAAGAATGCAAGGACCAAGTTTGTAGGTAAACTTCATGGTTTCTCAGGGCGTAAAATTATCAGTGCTACGTGTTGACCTAATTTTATTTAAAGGTACAGTGTTTGATTATTACAGGGATTTACTGACATAAATGTAATATATTATCTATATATATATTATTTATTATCACCTATGAACTTAAAGTCTCAATCTTTGTGTGTGCCTTGCCTCAGAAATTGCTATTTATAGTTACATAGGAGTGGGTTCATTTTTGGAGGCAGACATAGTTAGCTCTATAGCTCTATGGCAGTGCAGATCTGACAAACTGGTGACTGTAGAGATCGCCATAATGATTGAGTGGGACTGTGGCAATTTATAGAGTTATAAACAATCCCACACAGACTTAGAAAATAGAATTTATAAAATGATCTATGTAAAATAGACTTAGACCTACCACAACCAGTAACCAACTGATTATTATGAAAATAACAGATTTCAAATTACCAATTGTTCTGTTTTATACTTTTGGGGTTCATGTCGCTGCAGTCTGACCAGCAGATGTTGCTGAAAATTACACATTGTATCTTTAACACCACTGGAGCCCCAATAATCACTTTTTATAAAAAAAAAAAAAAAAGCTGTCTCCAGTAGCTGGGCTACAATATGGCATAAATTGTATTACTTTGTGCAAATTTCAAACATGGCATTTAAATTTTGTATGAGGCAATTGATTTAGTATGTATTTACCAGTTTTGCTCTATTTTAAAATGTCTTAATTTGATCGTTACTTTATTGAATATTGAATAATAATAATTCTATTTGACATTATAGTTTCATGTGTATCAGATGAGTTTAATATTTAATATATTTGTTAAGAGAAAATGCTATCTTGGATTTTGGTGTAATGTGGCTTTAGGATGACAGCCAAGTGTAGGCAGGAAGTGGATCTTATACTGGCTGAGGAGCCAGGAGTTATCCTGCAAAGTTGTCTTAAACTGAAATTTTTGTGATACCAAAGGAATAAACCACCTTTTTCTAACTAACCAAGACCGTATGGGACTGGATATTTGTTTATGAGATGAGAGCCACGAGCAGACCAGAGCAAACAGCTAATGTGCTTCCACAGTAGTAACAAATATATTTAAAAATATATTTGTATTTACTGTAACAGCTATTAGCACGTTTTTCCTATAGATTAAGACAAAAGCAGATAAATAATATTTTCCAATTCACATTTCTTTTAAACTACTTTTCCTTCAGACTGTATAGCTTTGAAAACCAGAGTTAACCAGGAAGCACAGTCCTTACACAGATCCATCCACACATCAATGGAGAGCAGTTAGAAAGGGTCCACACCTCCTGTAATTGAACTAGAACGTGCTTTGGAGTTTTCTGTTTTGCAGTTGTTTTGCACCCCCTGGTGGTTTATTTGTCCATTATTTTTTCCAAGAGCTGAACAGTGATAGATTCACATTTTGTATTCACTGATCTCTATTTATTCACTGGATTGCTGATTGCCCATTGATATTACAGGGTGGAGTGAAGTCATCAGCCACCATATTGGTACCCCCTAGTTAGACCCGTCGGAAGGCAAACAATACGTGCAATACAGCATCAACCAACACTGATTCTATAATTTTCAGGGGGGGCTTAAGACTTTTAACTTCAAGATAAATTCATCATTCACAATTTGACACAAGTTGGTGTTTCATAGAATAAGTAGATTACCCTAATTTATGATTTTTTTAAAATAGGCACATTACATTGCATAGTTAGCATGATGTCAATGAAGTATATAAATCATGTAATATAACATATTATACAAATCCATCACAACAAAATGAATTTGCTAATGGAGCATAACAATACAGATGTGCCAAAATTGCTAAATTGATGATCTACATGTAATATAAATGTATTGATTGAATTGTTATGGTTATTACATCTTACATACACGTAAGGGTGTAACTTCGTAATGAAAGTTGGTGCGGACTCTTTATAAGGGTTGGGGATGATGAACCTACATACAGTTACAGGATCCAAATGCTTTTGTGAGGTATTTGTATTTTGCTTAAAAAAAAAAGCCCAAACCCAATCATGAACGGCATTTATTTATTCAGTTCCGTCATATTGTTAAGAATGATACAATGACAATTTTTTTTTTTTTTGATATTTATAGATAGACTGGTACCTTTCAGTGGCTCTTTTGTAATTGTTAAAAAACATCAGCAACATTAATACAGAAAAAAAGGAAAAAAAAACATATGCAAGTTTTATGAATAGTTGCAAATAGTGCAAATCTAGTTTTGAGTAATATAAAATATGAATGTATTAGTCCCTTGAGTAACAACCAGGTTTATTATGACATAAAAAAATTATAACAACTAAACTATTTCACTGTTAATATTTGGCAGGTAACAAACCCTTCCCTATATTAGATATTATGACAATGGATTTATGTGTTGTGGTTCCAGTTTGTGGGGTTAGTTTTGTCATGATGGGTTACTGAAAAGCCCAAGATGCAGAACACCACGGAGACTGAAGAA